CACGTATTTATTCTCTCTTCAACAGGTGATTCTTATGAATAAACAGGTATTCTGTATTTACTCACAACCCAAAAAAACATACCAAGCGGGCAGCTGTTACCCACCTACCACTAACCATAAACTAAAAGGTATTCTACACAAGGGAGCCATGGAGGCAGGGTAAATTTAATGTTTCTCAACAGAATACTACAGTGTAGAAGTGGCTTCTGTTAACTCATCAGTTATTTTACAACATTCTAAAACAGTGTTTAACAAACTGTCTTAGTTTTTCCCCAATTTGTCATGGATGGACAAATTTGTGAAATAAGAAATGAATTAGTCAAAAAATGAAATTTAAAAAGACACAGACATATAAAATGTAAGCCCCCAATTTGTTATGAGATTCAATAGACATGCAATTACTTTACAAGTTAATATAAATGATTCTAAAGGCTTATTTGCAATTTCTGTCCTTAGCTACATCATGACATGTAGTAAATGTTTGAGGACCAGTGCTAGTTTTCTCTCCACATTTTGAGCAGCACTGTGCCTTACAAAGTCAATATTATAAGCCAGGTATTGTACAAAGGCCAAGGGCTGATTCCAAAATCCAGAACATCGTATTTTTCATGTACTCTTAAAAGAGGAGAGTAAGACCTGTAAACATCAACCATCATTATTATTACCTTTATTCTACTATATTTAGTTCTTCTCAAGTTATACGTGTTTACTAAGGTTAACAATGCAAATCCTTACAGGCTATTTAATTATGCACCTTATGAAGGCAATACCATGTGTTTTTATAGCACAAAACCCAATTTATTCTCTTTTTGAAACACAGTCTTAGTCTATCTTCCAGGCTAAATTGCAATGGTGCAATCTTGGCTCACTGCAACCTCCGCCTCCTGGGTTCAAGCAATTCTCCTGCCTCAGCCTTCAGAGTAGCTGGGATTACAGGTGCCAGCCAGCACGCTTGGCTATTTTTTGTATTTTTAGGAGAGACAGGACCATGTTGGCCAGGCTAGTCTTGAACTCTTGGCCTCAAGTGATACGCCCGCCTTAGCCTCCCAAAGTGCTGTGATGACAGGCATAAGCCACCGCCACAGGCCCCCAATTTATTCTTTAGATTATAAACCCATCAGTCAGAGCTCATATGCCTCTTCTGTTCTGAATCACACTCAAGACACAACTGACACATGATAAAGGGTATTAATTGGCATGTGAACATTTACTAACACTACATTTGACAATGGTAAGGAAGAAAAAGTGGCATTTTTATAGGGACAATTTCTCTTGAGTGTTGTTGTGTTTCAGCAAAGGGAGATGTGTGAGCATGTTTGTTGAAGAAAAACTGAAGCCTCTTACATTTTCTCTCAGGCTCATCAGGGACTGGTGGATAATTTGCAGACAATTTGTATACCCTATCCCTATAGGACTAAACCTCAGATGTAATTACTGCAGATGTCAGTCACTCTTGTTGTCCCAAAGACCATTCTCCAAAAATATACATACTATATTCTGAGGGTTTTCTCACATTTGTAAATTCAGAAATTGAAAGAAGCTTTGTTGGTGAAGAAGAGGTTTCTATTGGGGTATGGAGAGAGGAATGAGAGTCAAGGAATCAACTCTGTCCTTAATAAGCACTTCTTTAAACATAAGCTAGAGTTGGAAGCACATGTCAGATGGAGATTAGCTATTAAGTCTCTACATTTAAAAAGTTACTCTGTTTTGGCCAGGTGGGGTGGCTTATGACTATAATCCCAGCACTTTGGGAGGCTGAGGCGGGTGGATCATTTGAGGTCAGGAGTTCAAGACCAGCCTGGCCAATGTGAAACTCTGTTTCTACTGAAAATCCAAAACTTAGCCCGGTGTGGTGGCACACGCCTGTAATCCCAACTACTCAGGAGGCGGAGGCAGGAGAATTGCTTGAGCCTGGGAGGTGGAGATTGTGGTGAGCTGAGATCGCGCCACTGCACTCCAGTCTGGGTGACAGAGTGAGACCCTGTCTCAAAAAAATATAAATAAAATATAAATATAAATTACTCTATTTTGCCTTCTTACTGGGTAGATTTTCAAAAGAGCAGGCAAGAGGCCAGTAAGTATTTATAACCCTTTTCTCTCCATGACTAATAGAGAGTTAAGGGAAAGAATTCCTTCTGAGATAAGTATAGATAATAATAATAATAAGAGGTTCCTTTCTTTTGAGAAAATGAAAGTATGTTATGTAGTTATCTAATTAGTACCATCATGTAATCTATTACTTCCATTATCATACCCACTTGGCATATGGGAAAAGTGAGGTACAAAATGGCTTGGAATTTTAACCATTTCTTTAGATTTCATTTTTCTTTTTCATTTTTTTTTCACTTAGAACAATTCTAATTTAGATTTCATTTTTAAATGTGAAGCTATAAAAATACACCTCTCTCTTTTTTTAACTTAATTTCTGTTTTTATGATCATCAAAGAAATATGTTTTTGTAGCCAACAACAGAAGATCAGATACTATAAATCATCCATCATCCCATCACTTGGAAGCCACCATGGTAACCACATTGATATTATTGCTTCCAATCCTTTTTCTGCACAATTTTTTTCCATACATAGATAAAATCAAACTGTATATACACCTTGAGTCCAGCTCTTTTCTATTTCTTTAACACTATGATCAAGGTATTCTTTTTTAAATTTGTTAATTGTTTACCTAAATAAATGATTTCTAAGCCCACATATTCATGTTTCATAGTTCAGGAACACAGGTCAGTGACAAACTTCTATGTAATTCAACTCCCAAAATTCTTTGCAGTCTAAAATCACTTTGCACTCTGAAAAGTACCAGTCTTCCTCATGTCCTCAAAATCTTTTATGGAATTGTAATTTCTGTAGAAATCTGTGTATGCTTGCTTTCTTGCTTCAGCCACAGCAAACTTACAGAGCGCTGCAAGCTACAAGAATACAACAAATGCTCCAACAATGTGACCGCAGATGCTCGGCAAGAAGGCCATACATCTGAGGTTTTGTCAAAATGCTGGAAGCCATGGTACTTATTTTCCTTGATAGGTGTGTCAGCCTCAGCACCAGTGTCTTTCCTGGCTGATGGAGTAATGAATAGCCAGCACTATGAGCAAGGTATTCTTAGGAACACTTGGTTATTTTGCCCCTAATTTCATATTAAGAATAGAGTCGTAGGTTGTGTAGTTAGGACTCTCACAAACCAGTTCTTGAAATAAGATCATTGGTGTGGCTAGCAAGAGGCTGGGCCATCCTTCAATTCCATCAACAAGCTGCAATTCGGACAATGAAGGAATGATGTAATGGGCTCTCTGGAGCAAGGTGGAGATTTCTGTGACTGATGGACAGCATTTCTGGGCATTCCATTCACAGAGTTATGATTGAAATCATGTCGCTGAGACTCCTACCACATGTACATTCTGTCAGTCATCATGTTGACAGAGGAGCCAGCATACACTTTTTTTTTAGCATGACTACTAGTTGTATCTGAACATTCAGATTCATTACAGCCCTTGATGCAGGAAGCAAATGTTTTGCATTGCCCAGAGGACAGTCACACTGGATGCCAAGCTTTGTGCCAGAAGAGCTTGGGTTTCCATTTCACTTTCAAACAACACTAAAAGGTTTAAATTGGTACAAGGATGAAAGGGATTTAAGGTAATGGTGTGGGCAGGGAGTACAGGGGGCTTAAGTAACACTTAAGCTCTATGCACACAAATCTACTTATAAAAAAAAACACGTTGAATTATTTCTACAGATAGGAATTTTTAAACATAATATAAATTCTACTTAAGAGGCAAACACCAATGTAATTCACTTATACCAACTCCTCTTAAGAAAATATGGACATTCATAAAAACTCACTTATTCATCAGATATTTGCCGAGAGCTACCATGGACCAGGCACTGTTCTAGGCCACATGCATAAGCAATACATGGAACTGCCAAAGTCTCTGACCTCAAAGTTTACATCCTTTAATAAATTAGATTTACTTTATCAAAAGATTATTTCATGTTCCAGTTTAAAGCAAGCTAAAGAGCCACAACATTGAAATATACTACCTGGCCCTGGATTCTGTACTGAAGAGGAAAAAGTGCTATAAAGGATGTTATTGAATCAACAGTGAAAATTGGAATGCAAATATATATCACGTAAATAATCTCTGCATTATTAGGAAATACACACAGAAGTGCTAGAGGTAAAGATCCACGATGTATTTATAAGTTATTCTAAATGGTTAAAAAAAGTCAAGAGCAGTGAGAGAGCTGGGCATGCTGGTGCATACCTGTAGTCCTAGCTACTCAAGAGGCTGAGGTGGGAGGATTGCTTGAGCACAGGAGTTGTGGGCTGTCATGTGCTATGCCAACTAGGTGTCTTCCCTAAGTTAGGCATCAGTGTGGTGACCTCCCTGGAGCAAGGGACCACCAGATGTGGACAGCTGAAATGGCCTATGTCAGAAATGGAGCAAGTTGAAACTCCTGTGTCTGGCAACAAAGCAGCGAGACCCCATCTCTACAAATTTAAAAAGAAAGTGGGGCCAGGCGCAGTGGCTCAAGCCTGTAATCTCAGCACTTTGGGAGGCCGAGGTGGGCAGATCACAAGGTCAAGAGATCGAGACCGTCCTGGCCAACATGGTGAAACCCCATCTCTACTAAAAATACAAAAATTAGCTGGGCGTGGTGGCATGCACCTGTAGTCCCAGCTACTCGGGAGGCTGAGGCAGGAGAATTGCTTGAACCCGGGAGGCGGAGGCTGCAGTGAGCCAAGATTGTGCCACTGCACTCCAGCCTAGCGCCTGGTGACAAAGTGAGACTCTGTCTCAAAAAAAAAAAAAAGAAAAAAAAAGTGAATTATAAATCAAATGTAGTAAAATGTCAACAATAGATAAATTTTTGCACTCTTTATTGTGCATAATTTCGTAATATTTTGGTAAGCTTGAAATTATTTTTGAATAAAAAGTTTTCAAAAACCTAATTTACTTTGTAAAATGAGTGAAAACATTTTTTTTTATACCAGTCATCTTTTATTTGGAGGTAAATTCCCATTAGGATAAGAAAGGATTCAGCAACGATGGACACTGTGTTCCTTATGGAGGAGCTTGGGCCAAGAAGGTCATGGTGGGGTGTGCAGAGCGTGTGCCCTTCTTCAGTGGTACTTGCGTAGCCACTCGTGCTTGAGTTCCTTGTAGGAAACGGAGTAGCTGAAGACCACATAGCTTGCCAGCACCATGGTAATCCCCAAGATGCTCCCCTTCTTCACGTTGATGTACTTGTAATACCAGTAGTTACCTCTTCAAAACACTTTGGCAATGCCACTAGGGCTAAGTCCCGTGTCAAGATCTGGCTTGGCAGCTCCCCGCGTTTGACCTCCAGAAGTTTCTTGTCCTTCACTGGTATGACTGACTCCATCTTGGAGTCCTGGTGTCCACTCCATAATGTTCTTAAATCATGTGGCAAACTCCCCTCAGTCATATGATTTATAGATCTCTGATTGGCATGCTGAGTTTCTCAGGATCTCAAAGATGGGCTTGTGTCATCTAATTAAGATCCACGGCATAAGTAAGGCAAGGCATTCAAAATCTCTCCATATGCCTCCCCCAATATGAACCGTAGACACCTGTTTCATCAAAGTACCCAATGATTTTCTTTTATATTTATACTAAATATTATTATATAATTATGTCAGTCACTATGTATTTGTAATTCACTTTCTCTGGGCTAAGAAACACCCTAAAGATCTCAGCTATATGATAGAAGCAGGAAATGCTACCAAATAATCCATTCAAATTCCTGTCTTGCTTAGAACTGCACTACAGTCTCATTCATTCATTCCCTCCTTCCTGCCCAGTTGCCTCCCTGCCGGTCTGCCTTCCCTTTCTCCTTCGCAAGAGTCAGATAATTCTCCCAGTCTCCTCCCATTCTCTACCCTAGTTCTCTTGCAGGTTTTTACCCTAATAAATCTCTTGCATGTCAATTCCTGTCTTGGCCTTTGCTTCCCAGGGAATCTGGACTAATATGTCCTCCTATTTTCAAAGGCATGCATACAGAACTAGAGGTTACACCTAGTCACTTTATTAGATATGGGTGTTTCCCAAGGCTTCATCTCAGCAATACATAAATATATTCTAAGAATTTGTTAGACTTCTAAGCAGTCTAATGTAATGCTTGATACTAGAATTTGAAGTCAAAAGGACTCAGGTAGAAAAATTAGTTGGATGATCTTAATATTAAATGGGATCAAATCTCTATCACAGTGATATACATATTAGACAGTAAAAGAAACAGACATTTTTTCTGGCTGCCTCTTTCTTATGTATCATGCAGACATTCCCTTGTTTCTAAAGACAGCAAATAACTAGATGTAAACTTCCAAGGTTGCAGTCAAACCTCTATTCGCTTCCCCAAGGAGACTTAAATGTACACCCAGAAGACCTGAATTAGATTTTAACTATTCTTGTAATTCCCCAGGCTTACATTCACCTGTACTCTCTTGGATGCCATAATTTCTGCAAAATGATTTCTGCAAAAATCTTGGTTTGGTTCTCTCTTAGAGAGTAACTCTTATTTCTGCCTTGCTCTTAGCTCAACATATAATAACAAATCTGGCCGGGTGCAGTGGCTTATGCTTATAATTCCAGCATTTTGGGATGCCAAGGTGGGCGAATCACCTGAGGTCAGGAGTTCGTGACTGGCCTGGCCAAGATGGTGAAATCCTGTTTCTACTAAAAATACAAAAATTAGCTGGGTGTGGTGGTGGACACCTGTAATCCTAGCTACTCGGGAGACTGAGGCAGAAGAATCACTTGAACCGGGAGGCAGAGGTTATGGTGAACTAAGGTCGCGCCACTGCACTCCAGCCTGGGCAACAGAATAAGACTCCGTCTTAAAAAAAAAAAAAAGATTTGTTACTATATATCTCTATATATATACACATAGTAAATATACATATATAATAAATATATATGGTTGTTACTATATATATATAGTTACTATATATTTATATATCTGTATCTAGAATTTGAAGTCAAGGACTCAGGTAGAAAAATTGGTTGAATGATCTTAATATTAAATGGGATCAAATCTCTACCACAGTGACATATATATTGTCATAGTAAATATATATATTTACCATAGGGATTTCATCTATAGATATATAGTAATTATATATATATAATTATATGTATATATATAATTATATGTGTGTGTGTGTGT